GGAGAGCCAGTCAGGAGGCTGGCAGGGAACACCTGGCCGCTGGCCTCGACTGATCTCGTGACCTCGGTGACAGGGAACTCATCAGAGACGATAACACCTGTCTTGGGGGACACAGCTTCCGAGGGGAAAGGCCACGGGCCAAATGCTTGGGGACATGTTGTCCGAGAGTCCAGATCCACCCAAGAAACCCCTCCCACCTGCTTTTTGTGTGCCCACCTCTTGGAGATTGCAGAGTCCAGGGGCAGGCCAAGGTGGGGAGGCGCCCTCAGGACAATTCGTTTCAATCCCCTTGCCTAACAAGTGGGGAAACTGAGGCCCAGAGATGGGGATGGCTTGCTGGGGTCTCAGTGCATTCCCGAGCCTGAGCTGTCCCTCTGTCCATGGCCCCGGCCATCCCCCACAGACCGCCTCTGTGATGCCAACATCTTAACAACCTGTAAGTTGCATCTTAGAAAACCTTATGAAACCACCTGATGGTTAAAGAAGCACACAAGAGAGGGTCAGGTGGCCATTCTGTCCCTCACCTATTTGGCACTAGTGGCGTGTGACACGGCCTGATCGCCACCAAGCAGGGGACACCAGGTGGTAGGTCTCTGCTCTGCTCTCCTGGGATGTAGAATCACCTGACGAGCAGGGATCCAGGAATGGAACCCTGACAGCCTGGGAACCAGCCCAGCAGCCGCCTGAGTGTCTCCACGAGCCTTCCAACGTCTCCCACGTGCGGGGCCCCATGTGTCCTGGAAACGGGCGCCAGGTTTGGAGCTGGGATCCGACGCCCTAGGTGGTAGCTGCTCCGTCAGCAGCATCAGGTGTCTTCCCGAGACCCAGTTTCCTCTCATGTAAATGGACAGGATGGAAGCCCACCAGGACGTCACGTGGGGGCACGACAACACCTCCAGGGAAGCCTCCCTGGTAGGTGTGCCCTGAGCTGTGCAGCCTGGAGAGCCACATGTGGAGACGTGACAGCTTGGAAACCGAGGACATGAGGACACCGCAGAGCAGGATGGCTGCCCAGGAAAGAGCTCTGCCTCTGTGACCCAGGGCACCTAGAGAGCCCTCCTGACCTCAGCCCCCAGGGCACAGGGCTGTGTCCGAGGGCAGGGGGTCCCTCCGCTGTGGGGGGCACCTGCCTGAGGACGTGTGGCATCTGCGACGTGAACGGGCCCTGCCGAAGCCAGAGGAGCTGGATCTGGGCTTGAAGGCTCAGCTGCAGGCCCCACAGACACGAGAAAACTTGTAATTAGCACGTGAGTTCGTCAGAGCCGGGAAGCGGGGTAGGCTGCAGCGAGGCCACCTGGGAACAGGGCACTCGCCTTCACTGATCTAGTCGGCGCCAGCTAAGGCATCTGCCCTCGTCCTCCAGGGTGGAGAACCTGCCTGGGGGTCCTGGAAGTGGCTGTGACAAACGTGTGGCCTTAGGATGGGGTACAGGTGCCCAGTGTCATCAAGGCCACCCGGGGCCTGACCAGCTTGCTGTTTTGGGTTATCTTATCTTTAATATATTTTAAATTCCAAGTAGGATTGACTAAAAAGTCAATCCAAGACAGATGGGTTCTAATAAGGGGGCCCTGCTGTCATCTTTCAGGCTGAGCATGGGCCATGGGTTTCAGCGAGAGCCTCACCTCTCTAGCCGGGCCGGTTGTGGAGTTAGGTTCACTTGCCGACGCCGTCTGTGGGAACAAAGCAAGGTCAGCAGGCGTCAGGGAGCCCGGACCTGCTGGTGTGTCACTAAGAAACTGGCAGAGACTCCATTTCCCTCAGGTCCTGCCAGGCCCGTCCAGGGCCAGCTGCTCCGAGCGGCCATCCTGCAACCTCGCTGTTCATCAGCAGCCCCTGACCGTGACCAACAAGTCTAGACCTCGTCAGGGACACTCCCCAAGGGCCACCTGACTCCCACCCAGCAGCCTGGAGCTTAGGCGGCCATGGAGCCCCTCCCACAGGGCGGGGGGGCAGAGGCTGGGCCCCAGGCTGGGCTGAACTTGAACTTCCAGGCTGACTCCTCGGATTCTAGAGCCCACCTCTCAGCCCCGGTGCTGAACGCCATCTGTCCCCAGATGAGCTTCCAAGGCAGCTCAGTGAAAGTCATCTCCAAGGCCACGCACATTTACAGACAAGGAAAATATTTTGGCTTCAATGTGGCCGCTCCCGTGATAGTATTCATGGAGTTTCAAGGCTTTTATCAAAATGCAAAATAGGCCCTTTCCATCCTGTGCTCCTCACACGAAGGCAACGGGCCGTGCTCACTCTCCCCGAGGCGCAGGGCCCACGTCTCCCAGGCACCAGACACGCCAGTCACTCAGGACAGTACCTTCCAAGTTCTCACTCAGCTTGGGTGTGACGCTGGACCTACAGCTTTTAGTCGCCCCGCCCCGTGCCCATCACCCCGTCACTCACCGGCCCTTTCCGCCACCGCGGGTCAGGACTGGAGGTCTGTGCCGAAAGGTGGCAGCTGCCATCTCCTGGTAGGGTGTTTGGGCAAGTGACAGGGCGTGAAGACGGGGCCTCGCAGTGGCCCTCTCCTTTGGGGGTTTTCCTTGAGCCCCTGACCAGGCTTCTGAGGGCAGGACAATCACCCCAACTTCTGTTGCGTTTTTAGGAGAGCCCGACACACTTTCAGGAAGACCCAAGCCTGTTCCTCAGATCCCACAGACGACCTCAAGGTCCCTTCTTCACTCACCGTTAAGTCCAAAGGGAAGCGACTCTGGCCACATCCGTGGCAGCACCCCTCCCCCGAGGCCTTGACTCTGGTGCAGTGAAAACTGCACCTGGCTCACCTTCCCTGAACACCAGCCCTCACTGGGGACATCGGTTGTGTGACTGGGGACCCCTCAGAGCCTGGGCTGCCGTCACCACGGCGTCTCCCTGAGGGACAGAGGTGGACCCTCAGCCTCTGTGAAGAAATGAACTTGACACGGCTCCATCTTTGCATCTTTAATTTGGAAGGCAGTCTGACGTCTCAGGGTACGCCCGTGTGTGCCAAGGAGCAGCTGACCCTGGGAGGCCTGGAACTTTCAAATTTCCCCGGGGGGGAGGGGGAGAAAGAGGAGACACGAGGTGGGGCGGCAGCACCGACACCCTCCAAAGGTGAGTCAGCTTTGAAAGCTCAAAACTTGAGAAAGGGTGTGCCGTGGCCCCCCAGGAGGACAGTGCAGGTCGACGGCAGCGTGGGCAGCCGTGGAGGACCGGGGTGGGGCGGGAGGGTGTCCTTGGCCTCCGTACTCAGTCTGCAGGCACACACAGTCGGCACACCTGGAGCGCTCAGGGGCTCTGCTGGTTCACCTGGCCGCGGGAAGCCGCACACCTGGGCTCCTCACATGCTCTCGGCCCCCAGTGCTTCTTCACAGTGTGAACGAGCTCCAGGAGCCAGAGTAACTGGAACCTTCTAGAAATGCACTCTTGGGAAGGTCCCTGGCCCCCAAGTGCTACCTGTGTTGATTTGCATGAGGTCTGACCTAGGAGTGGCCTTCCCTCCCTGCCCCCCCAGGGACCCCGGTCCCCAGGTAGGGCAGGAGGACAGAGCTGGCCAGGGGCTTGGTGGGGCGGACCCGTGAGCGGTCGGCCGTCCTGGCTCTCAGAGGCCTCTCCTATAGGCCATTTCGTTATCATTATTCCAGTCTGGCTCACCTTTTGCACCCACGGTTTTATTTGGGCCCTGAAGGAGCCCAGGAGAGGGGCCTCGGCCACCTCTCCCAGGCTCGGCCACCCTCAGGCCTCTGTCCTGTTTGGCGAACACCTGGTGTGCCCCTTCACCTCCCACGGCCATTTACAGCGTACGCCCCGTGAACCCCGAGGTGCCCGAGGACAACGGGAAACCAGCCGGGCCCCCTAATCCCTGGCCACCTCCGCTCTTGGCAGCGCTGTTTCGCCTCTGCTGAGCGCCGGGCTGAAAGGACGGCTGATAAATTAGTCTAGAGGGAAACAAGGCGCTTCTACTTGTAAAAGGTCATTGCGACTTTGTTCTGGGTGAGGGTTTATCTCAGCTGCCGCAGGGACAGACAATGCTTGGGCCTAAATGGCAGAAATCTTAGCTCGGCTTGTGAAATGCCTGTGCTGATAAGCCAGAACGGACTTCAGAGAGATCCAAACGTGAAAGGGGTGGATGTAGGTAGTTCTGAACTTGATTGAACAGGGGATGACACAATGGGATGTGCAATTAAACTGGGCATCAGCCCAGAAGGGAGAAACACAGCCTGAGAGCCAGACAAAGGTGGTCCCCATGCCCTGCGCCGGCCAGCGGGCGAGGGAACAGCTGGGACAGGGGACAAGGCCTGGCTCATGAACATCCCAGGGAGGCTGGCGTCGCTCTTCTAGCCAACTCCCTGGGAACACAATCACACATGTCACAGGTAGACGGGGCCAGGTGCCATCCTGCCCACAGGCCAGGCACACAGGTGAGTTGGGACAGATGCACTGGCTCCCATGACAATAACACAAGGCCATCCTTGTCTGAGCGTCTTCCCTTTTGGAGGAGGAGTCATCACCGTATACACCAAGGTGGACCCTGTCAGCTGATTTAAAAAGTCACTTTTCGGCCACATGATTCGCAACATCCTAACCAATGTGGAAATCAGGGTTGGGGCCACGTGGAACCCAGGTGGCGTGGGAGGATGCCAGCTGTCACCATCCCCGCAGGGCCTTCTGAGGAGGCCACCCTGGCTGACCCGGCCTGGGTCAGAGCAATCCCACCCCACCTTAGCACTCGGCAGGGCCCCCAGCAGAGCAGGGGAGGGCAGCCACCGGCCCTCGGTGGGCCTGTGAGCAGCTGTGTCACCCAGGGTTTTGGCTGAGGCTGAGGTGGCCTGTGACACACTGAGAACACATTCCTAACCCAGGAGTGATCGGCACTCAAAAATTCCCAACTCGAGAGAAGCGCTGATAAGCAGACAAGGCTGGGGGCCAGGAGGTTCACGCCCTTGTCCCATGACCCAGCAAGACCTTTTATGGCCTGCTCCCCCTGGGACTCTCATCTGACCCAGCGGGAGGGAGGCCCACGGAGGAGCTGGACAGCGGGATGGCCAAGACCATGCTGGGGATCCCCAGGGAGCTGCCTGGCCAGTAGCTGCCACCCTCAGGGCAGGCCGCCCTCCTGGCCTGGGCTGCTCCCAGTGAGGCCTGCTGCTGGGAAAGTACTAGAAATAGAAATATTTCCACGTAAGCGACTGACACTGCAGATGCTTCAGTCTTAGCAGGTGGGTCCCTCAGAATGTGGGGTCAGCACAGAGTGGGCTGGCAGGCAACAGCACAGGCTTAACCCAAGAGCCAGCCTCGCCCGGACAGCAGCCTCGCCCGGACGGCAGTGCGGGTGCAGACGGAGGAGGTGGAGTTATGTCCATGTCATCCCACGTCTTACTCATCCCCGCTACCCTGGAGACGCCGAGGGCCAGGTCATCACCCACAGGACATGGCGGTGGAGGGCTGGGGACTGCTCTGTGGGGGACCCTGGGGCAGTGGGGCCGGCTGAGTCCCTACTGTCAGCAACAACTGGCCTCATGAGCCACGGTGGCAACAGGCATGGCAGAAAGACCTTGTCCTGAGCCTGTGCCGACCTAGCATGTGGCCTATGGGGCCCTCTCCCCGCTTTGGGGCTCAGGGTTCCCACCTGCACAGTGACAGGGAGAAACAGTGAAGCCCAAGTGGTTTCCCCCCATGATACAAATGGGCGGTGCCTGACACCCCCACCTTGATCATCGCCGCCATGCCCTCAGGGACGGGGGTCCCCTCGCTGGTCAGTCTCCAGGGTGCCACCCACCCAAGTGGAGCAGTGCTGGCGACAGCTGTATGGGTGTGTGTGGCAGCCCTCAGGGGCCCCTCACCCAGCCTCACCTGCTGCCCTTTCCTGCGCCCCTGCTCATCTCATCGGGTGCCCCCACCCCACTTCTGGCTCTGTCCACCTGGCTCTGACAGGTTCGTTAAGGAAGGCTCTGTCACTGTCTGTCCTCACACCTGTAGGAAAGTGTCTCTCTGGGCTCCGGGGGGCAGGGGGAGGGCAGGGCTGGGAGGGCAAGGGGAGGCCCCTTTTAGGGGGCTTACACCTGAATGGAGTCCCCCCCAGTGCCCACTGTGCCATTGCATATACATGCAGATTCCTGGGCACCCAGGGATTCTGTCTGACCCAGCAGTAAGGTGGGGCCTGAATCTGCAGTTTGGAAGTGCCCTGGGGCAGCTCCATGGGACCCAAGCCCGAGCTGGACAAGACTCCCTCCTGGATGGGGGGAAGGGTCGCGACAGCCTCGCAGGTAGACTGCCTGGGATGGCCCCGCGTGGCTCCTGCCTGGACGCGGCTCTGCCCCCAGCCGGGCCCTGGGTGTCCTGGGACTCGGCTCTGCTAACGGCCGTCTCTGGGGTCCTGAGACGCTGGTTCTATAAACAGCAGGGGCACCCTCAGGGTGACCAGTGCATGCCCTGCAAGGCCCCGCCGTGGTTCACAGGGCTGGGCATGGGACCAACCTACAAACAGGAGAATGAGAACCATGTAGAAAGAGCCTCAAGCGCATTACGTGCAGCGCACAGTAGGTGCCCAGTCAGCGCCAGACCAGCCTGCCCTGGCCTCACTAGTCCTGCGCACATCAGGTGCCTTTGTTATTTTCCCAAATGTGTAATCCCTATTTTTCTTAAGGAAAAAAGAGAGAGAGGAGGGAGGCAGGGAAGAGGAACGCGCCCCTTCTCCAGGGGGGGGCGCCGAGGCCACCCTGAGGAGCGGCCACCCTCCCCTCCACCCCCTGGCGGCTTCCTTCTGACAACCTGAAGCTATTTTCCACGTGTCTGGTTCACAAAGAGCCCCAGTCCAGAGTGAGGGTGGGTTTGGTTGTCACTGTGTGTGTGTGTGAGTGTGTGAGATGTGAAGGGTAAAATACCATTTAAGAAGTTGGTATTCATGGACGTCTCTAGAATACGAAAAGAAAATATTTATTTCCTTTTTCGCTTGTGAATCAGATGCTCTATTTAAAGAAAGTCCCCTCTGCTAGACTGCGGCTGAGTTATTACCCCTTAAGGAAATAAAGGCGAACTCTGGGGAGGTATTCTTAGTCATTCTCTCTCCTTTTTTCTAAAATTCCTTATATACCCGCGCCTCAGAGCTGGGCCTAAGATAGTGCAGGATTTCATGGCATTCTTGGGCTAAAAACGTCTGGACCTGATGTCACGGTGCTTGGGAGGGACAGGCAAGGGCCCCTTCACTGCACCGTAGTGGCCTGTGGGGCGTCGGCACCACCGGGGCGTCAGCACATCACATCAGCCATCTCCAGCTCTGCTCTGTTCCCACAGGACTGTGCTTCTGCTCAAATCCCATCCCTACGAGAGGCCCCAGGTGCAAACATGCATTCAGCAGCGCGCTTACAATTTGGGATACTTTCTGAATGTACCTTATGCCTTCTAAACGCATTTGAAAAATTACCACAAGGAAAACAAACAAACAAACAAACAAACACCTGAGATGTCTCTAGGCTTCAAATATAACCCAGTCAGGGGCGTGTCCACCACCCAGCAGAGGAGCCACAGCCAGGAGGATTCTGGGAGTCTGATCCCATGGGGGTGGGGTGCTGCATGATGGTCCCACGCATGTGTCCTGGTGCCACCGAGAAAAAGGACAGTCAGGATTCGGGACTGAGAATACCAAGCCCGAGGTCGTGTGGCCATCACACCAGCAGGGAGCTCCAGCCTTCACAGGTGAGACTGACCCGCCCTCCTCCCCAGCAGCCGGCACTGTTGGCATGACCACAGTAAACACAATAAGACGGTCTAAGAGCTAAATAAACACACCCCCTCCCCCAGGCGTGCCCACGAAAGCAGGCGGCACAGCGGCTCCAGGGTGAAGGACGCACACAAGAGGCTGACATGTGAGCCGTGCACGGGATGCGTGCGGAAGTGTGCGAGCATGGCGCAGGGCACAGACACGCGCTGGCCACCGCAGCAGCACCGTCCGCTGAGTGGCCAAACACCCAGCAGCCATCCCCAGTGGTCCCTCTCTCCTCTCTGGACCCCGCTGGGGAAGGGGGTAGCGGGTCTTTGGAAAACCTCTGCTCAGCGCCCTGCCAGCTGCCTTGCTGGCCCAGCCCAGGCAGGAGGCCTAGAAAGATCCTCTGCTCCCTCCCTCTAGAAGGATCCTCTACTCCTTCCTTCTAGATTGGCTGTGCTAACCCCGACTGCACATCAAATTTCCTGGGAGCTTTCCCTACCTGGTGCCTAAGTGGGTTTGTCGGGACTTTGGGTCCTACACCAGGATAAACAGGGACGATTGGTCTCTCCATCTGGCCAAAGCCTGGGATGCCTGGGGTGGGGCCTGCACCTGTAATTCTAATGCTCCAGGTGACTCCAACATGCAGTTAAGGTGAGACCGTGGGTCTAGACCAGCGGTTCTCAACCTTCCTAATGCCGCAACCCCTTAATACAGTTCCTCATGTTGTGGGGACCCCCAACCATCAAACTATTTTCCTTGCTACTCTAGAACTGTAATTTTGCTACTGTTATGAATCGTAATGTAAACATCTTTTTGTTTTCAGATGGTCTTAGGCGACCCCTGTGAAAAGGTCATTCGACCCCCAAAGGGGTCGCGACCCACAGGTTGAGAACCGCTGGTCTAGACCTTGGCCCTCGGGTCTCAGACACCCAGGAAAAATCCGCAGAAGAGTCCTGACCCTCAAGTACCAGCTTTCACATTTTTCTTTGTAAGCTTGTAGGAAAAAGGAAGGGTGCTGGGGTGAGTGCATAAGAGGGTGAATGCCGGGGGTGGGGGGCGCGGGAGGGGAGAAGGGAGAGGAAGCCTGTTCCTCATGGAGACCCGGACCTCAGACGGGAGACCACAGGGCTCCAGCTCTGGACGCCCTGTGACTCTGCTGCCTCACCGGGCCAGGCCTGCGAGGGTGCCAGTGAGCACAGGCAGCCACATCCCAGGACTCCGAGCAGATCTGCCACACACCCCGCCCCCACCCCACCCCCATACTGAATTTCAGCCCTTGGTACCCAAAATGCTTTCGGGGACCTTGGAGAAGCTGGTCTCAGCGCTGCATTTTCCTGCATGTGTCACAGCGCCTTTGCAAGTCCTCTGATGCATTCTGTCCTGGCAATGTTAGAGTATGAATTCCCAGGGGACCAGGTGCCTACGGGTCTCATCACCATCCTGCTACTTTGGACCCAAAACCGGGTCCCAAACTCCTCCCCATTTTAAGGATGCTCAGCCCTGTCTAGGAAAAGAATGCATCGCTTTTCTAAAAATGCATGTAGGTGGGTAAGGACACCCAGAGAGTACTGGGTGTCCTGGACGATAACTTAATCTTACATTTACAGAAAGGTCCCTGAGAGTGCAGGGCTGGGGTAGCTTTCTCCTGCGGCATCCTGTACCCTGGCTCCTGGGGTGTCCTGCAGCCCACCAGGGTGGGGTGGTGGGTCCTGGCCCTGATCAATGCCTCCCATGGGCCCCAGGACCCTGGAGAAGCCGCCTTGGGGGCCACACTGGTGAATCAGGCAGCCTGAGGCCTTGGGCTGTTCCCCAGGACCCCGGAGCTTCCCACAGGCCCTGGCCCAAACCCAGCCTGTTTGTTGATTGAACAAATGAACACAGATATTAATGCTCAGAAACTAAGGCCAAGGGGACTAGCCATACACTTGAGTCCATTCTTCAGAAACCCCATCATTCATGAGAACATTTTTCAGCAGCTCCTTAACCAGAGGCAGAGGCATCATTCAACAGACAATGTGCCAATCACAGGCTGGCAACGCTCCGGGCACCAGGCAGCCACCGGATGGCTTTTTGGGGGAGACAGCCACTCCACCAAGAAACAGGCAAACACGGGCACTTTCCCTGTGGAATGGCTCCTGCGGCCTCAGGGGGCCGGCGTGGCACTGCCCCCTCCCCCGTGCAGGCCCCGTAGCTGTCGGTGGGTACACAGCTGCAAGGCCAGGCACCAGAGCAGATGGCATCTCCGAGGAGACTGCCTCCGCAGCCCGTCTCCCTCTGGGCTGTCACTCGCAGCCATCTCTTAATTAGCTAAATAAACAGCACAATGATAAATGTCATGATTTACTCAACAAATGATCAAAATCATTGTGTTTTTTTTCAGACCCCAGGGCAATAAAATGCAATCACGGGGTGATTTATTCCAGGCAGGGTGAGTGGTGGCTGCGTCAGCAGGCAGGCCACTGGTCTGGATGGAGGGGGGCTGAGAGTTCTGGTGTCCTCCCGGGCAGGGGGACAGACCCCCTCTCTTTGAGATGGAGCCCAGGGGCCATGTCCACTCACTCCAGCACCCATCTGTCCCCACAGATATGGCCAGCCAGGTTGGGGTTTGGGGGAGACACTTCTGAGATGGGGTGTGTTTTCTTCCAAAATGAAAGGAATCACTTCCTGGTGTGCCCCTAAAACACCCAGGAGAGGGGAGGGTTAGAGTCACTGAATGTTCTGGATGCATGTGTGAGGAGCACGGAGGGAGAGCCCGGCCCTGTCGGCCACGAAAGGAGGGAAGTTTTCAGCGAGTGAACAGGGGAGGGCGGGGGCTCAGCAACCAGGCCAACCCCCCCACCCCCTGTGAAACCGCCTTGAACCTGAAGCTCATAGGTCATCTGCGTCGGCCCCAGCAGGGGAAGGAGGCGCTTTTGCTGGGCGGGTGAGCGGCCCTGGGATGGTGTGGTGGTCAGGCCGAGGGCCAGGTACAGAAAGACAAAAGGAAACGGGCCGTCTGATCTGACTAAATGGAATGTCCACAACAAGGATTTTGTTCTCAGAGTAGAAAATTGGTGTCCCACAGTGATGGTAAGAATAATCTCTGTGACCTCAATTTTAAGCCAGGCCTCTGAGGGACACTTTCCTGTGTCCGTTGGGGGTCCCTCCCGGGGCTCGATTCCCACACCAAACCAACAGGACGCAGCGCTGAGCTCGCACGGTGCACAGAACCCCGCTCCCGGACAAGTCCTGGGGGACCCTCCTCGGATTCCTTTTGTCATCTCTGCTAAAATGCCATTACCTGTTCTCTTTCAGTAAATGAATACCATGTAAATGGCAATAAAATCAAATTACCCTGATTTATAAAACAATTACCAGCGTGAGCGTGAACAGCTATACATTAGATTTGGGACCATTGTAAGATTATTGCACTTGTGTGTCGTCCCTGGGACCTGCTGTGACATCCTGGGTCTGCCCTGCAGCCCCCGCCCCCCGATAATCAGACACGTATGCCCAGCTATTTTCTGTATCTTGCTGCCTGCTTTGGGCCCAGCTCACGGCAGGCCCAGGGAAAGCGGCTTCAGGAGCCAGACGGGACAGGCGGTGTGGCCCGACCGCCTGATGGGCCTTAGTGACTTGGGGATTCACTGAGGGCACCCTGCCGTCCGGAACCACAGGAGGACCCAGGCCCTGGAGCCTGGGTTTCCACTTGGATCTGGGGCCTGTTTGCAGGCAGGGCACAGGAACGGGCGACACATAACTGGGAAGGGGCGCCCGCGAGTTGCTTCTGTCTCCCGAGCTGCCTGCCGTACTCGAGGAAGACATGAAAACAAAGCGAAATGGCAGTATCTTTCAGGAGGCACGTGGAAAATTCCAGGAAGGCTGCTTACAAGGCAAGATGGTGGCTTTCTGTCCCAACGGGCCAAAATGAGGCCCGTGGAGGTAGGAAGAAACCGCCTCGAACGTAGCGTCTACTTCAGGCAAACGTGGCTTCGCCCTGAGTTTTCAGGACGCCCGCCTCCTCGTCCCCCTCCCACTCTGGGCTCTTGTCCAATCCTGCCACCAGCTCTCCACCACCATGATGACGCCGACAACTGCTCCCAACCCGTTTGCAGGAGGCCACAAAGCCCAAAGACGGATCACAAAGCAGGTAATCGGTGCCTGAACTCGCAAAGAAAACAAGGTCAGACGAGATAATGTCCGTGCGTCTGGAGCACTATTTGAGGACGTTGGATGGAGGGCAAATACTTCTAAGTGCTGGCATGAAAGGCAGCTGTCAGGTCACGACCGCGGGACAAAGCCCGCGGCCGAGATGGGAGGCGCGCCGTGTGGGGAGAGCGTTCCCTCACGTACGCTGAGAATAAATAATATTGCAAAGTCAACAGGCCCGGGCAGATAACAGCCACGGCCTGTACCAGGCCTGGCACCCAGCAAGCAGTGGTGATACGGGCCATTTCTTAAAAAAAGAGCAAACAGAAACCCGTATCAGAGCAGACAGGAACAAAGTCACCTCAAGGTCATCCAACATGCTACCTGTAAGGTTCGTTTACCCACCAGCGTCTAAAAGCCACCTATTAATTAAATAGTTCAGACTTTTCTGAGTGTCTCAGACAAACACCCTGAAATTCCTCTCCCAAACATCCAGGCGGGGAAGGACAGGACAGGCCACGTCTGCAAAATGCCATGTCACAGCCGAAACCACTTACCTGTCACATCGTCGGCAAACGCTCTCCTGGTCCCGGGAGGGACGTCCCTATGGGCCATGAAAAAGCATGCAGTGTGGCCCCAGGATGGCTGCGGTCCCAGACTCCCTTCACCACCTGCTTTACCTTGTCCCCAGGCCCCTGGTGGGTCTGTTCTGAAGGTGACCCTGACTGTGGTACACAATGAGTGCCACCTGGGGACGGTGGGGAGGCACCCAGCTCACACACTCCATCCTGCCCAGCGGTGGCTGTCACCATTTTGGAATGTGGAGCTCCCGTTCCTTTGTCCACCTGGTCAATCCACTTTGAGGCTAAACCATCTAAAGAGCTGGCGCTCGGGGGATGAGCTGCTGTGTCCCCCGGTGTCCACACCCCATGTGCTACCTGCCTGCTGGGAAGTCGGAGGCTCCCAGCGTTCGGGGCACACCTACCCCCCCCCCCCCCCGTCTCCTTGTGAAGGAGGGAAGGTCTCGGTTCTGCCAGGCTGTGTGCAGCCTACAACACTGAAGTTTGGGGACCTTCCTGGAACTGAGAGGTTGGGAGAGTTGGCTCCCCCAACCCTCATTGCCCTGGTCCCTGGCCACACGGGTCCTCTTCCTCAAGCTGACCTCCATCCCAGCACTTGGAAAGTTGCAAAACACCCAGAAGTAATCTGGGTTTGCACCTGCATTTTCCACCCAGGGGGGGCCCCTGCCACAATGCCACCAAGGACTGGCTATGCAGGCCGGCAGAAAGGCCAGAACCCGTGGACAGAGTGCTTTGGTGGGGCCTGTGGTCCCCGGGAGACCACCTTGAAAGCCCCCAGACTGGGGCCTGGTGGCCTGAGCAGGACACCTCCGAGGGGGGGAAGGATGCCTTCGGGGACGCCAGCACCCCTTACCTAACATGCTTTCTTCGGCTCTCCTGACGACACACAGGCTCCAGAACCATGGAGGCGGGCCCAGGTGGCTTGGGCGAGCTCACCTGCAGACGACCCTCTCTGGCAGGATGAGACTCTGCCCACTAATCTGAGACGTGGGGGCTCCTCCCAGGGAGCTGGCTGACAGGGTATGGTGAGGGGAGGCCCTCGGTGGATGTGCCCAGGGCACCAGGCACATTCTACGAGCTGCCTGCCCCATGCTGCGCCAGGACCTAGCTACCCGCCCCCCACTCCCCATGTGCAGATTTCTCTGGAGTACAGACTCCTGTTCTGGGACATTCCATTAATCTCTGCTGTTCTGCCGAGATTGCAGCCTTGGCACCTAAGATCCAGACGGGAAGCATGGGGCGTCTTAAGACATGAGCTCATTAAAGACACATTTCCGGGAAGAGAGCAGGCACAGCCTATGGGGGCTGACAGGCGTCCACGAGGACCTCTGATGCTTTCGGAGTCGCGTCATGCGAGCTGCAGGATAAAATAAGCCTGGGAAATGTGACATTCGAACGCTCTCTCCGACCGAGCCTCTCGCCTGGGGCAGCGGCTGCTCAGCCGGCTTTATAAATAGATGGAACACAAGATAAATGGCCATGATCAATCACGCTAACGCGAACATGCTCACCTCCCATCCAAAGTCGGCCTCCTTCAACGTGGCCCGGGGCGCCACCATGTAGGGGCCGAACCTCTCCCCGACTTCCATCCTCTTCTTGGCCCAGACCCCCAGGCCGGCCCCAGGGATGGAGGACTCGCGGAGCTCGAAGTCCGGCGGGATGGGGATGTCCTCGGGGATGTAGACGGGGGCCTCGTAGGGCGAGCCCTCCTTGGGGGTGAAGTCCTCGCTGGTGGGGAAGGGGGATGCCGGGCCCATGGGGATGGGGGACATGATGCTGTCCTCGGTCTCGTCCTCGGCGCTCTCGCCAGCCAGCAGGTCCGGGTCCGGCTCATACATATTATTTACAATGTCGCCGTCACCTGAAGGAAACAATGTAACGTCAGCTCAGCAGCACACCTTCCCCGGTGCATGGGGCTCAGGGACTACCCGGGCTGGGACACAATAGTAACTGAGGGCGCCAAGAGGCCCAGAAGTGGCCCAGGAGATGTCACCTCTGCTCATCCTGGGCCGAGCAGCCCTCATCCATGTTAGAGGTGCCCAGAAAGGCGATTCCACCAGCTCCCGCCAGGAACCAGCGTTTAGGCCCCACACGCAGACCCGAGGACCCACCTGCCCATGCTACTTTGGGACAGCGAGGACAGGAGCTGCCCACGCTCCATAAGTTTAGGGACAGGGAAGTTGTCACATGGGCACCCAACCCAGGGCTGATGGTGAAATACGCATTTGGGAACCACCCAGGATGTGTGTGCAGCCTTGGGAGGTAGGGGGTGGCGACACTGCCCAAGTTCTGGGGAGGACTCAGAATCTGGGTTCCCGTGAAAATGCCCCGATGCCTGGGCTGCTCTGGGCACTGGGTCGGGGCGGGGGGGGGGTCCTGAAGTTCCTGATGACATCATGACCGATGAGGTCACAGGGTGGAGTGGGAGGCCAGAGGGTCCCCACTGTCTGTCTAGGGTGGCCACTCTTCGGGGTTCATCGTAAGAGACAGTTGGTGCCAAGATCGTGCCACCTGGACATACAGCAGAGGGTGGCCTTAGGCCCCAGGGAGGCGATAAAAAGTGGGCTGGGGAGGGAGGGCTAGGAAGGGCAAGGCCTGGCTCACTGTCAACCCAGAGAACTGAGGGGACAGGTGAATGTTCACAGCGCGTCCCCCGCGATCCCCCAAAGGTAGGGACAACCAGGTGTCCATCACCAGGTGAGGGGTGAACGAACGTGGTCCATCCACACAGAGGAGTAGCTCTCGGCCGTGAAAAGGAGGTTCACTGTCACGTGGCTGAGCCCTGAGAACAGCAGGCCGAGCGAGAGAAGCCCACGGTGAAGGCCACGTATCGTAGGACTTGCTTTACATGGAATGTCCAGAAAAGGCGAATCCACAGAGGCAGTGCTGGGGCGGGGTGGGGGCCACAGGGAGTGACCGGTTAATGGGTGTGGGTCTCCTCTGGGGAAGGAAACCTTCTGGAGCTGGACAGGGGTGGTGGTCACGCAGCACGCAGCACGGTGAGTGTGCTACGGCCACTGGGACTGCACACTTCAAAGGGCTCGTTTTATTGTTATGTGAATTTCACCCCAATAACTTTTAAAAGTCAGAGGAGGGGGGGAGGAGCAGAGGGGAGGGGCAGGAGGGAGGACAGCCAGCTCCCTGCTCAGGCCCGCTGACCTCTGATCTAGATGCTTCCGCCTAAGTCCCTCTGTCTGCACTGGTTTGCAAACCTGTGAAAGTGACCCGGCCTCTGTGGTCACTGGGGCCCTTGTCTCGGCCCCTCCCTGCTCCCTGCTTGACTTTGGCTGGTGAAACAAAAGTCTCCAGGGAGACGGGACTTTTAAGTACAGATTCCTCATGCTGGTTGCAAATAGACCTGCTCAAGAAGTAACAAAATGTTTTCTTTCAAAAGAAAGCAAAGTCTTGATGGAAAAAAAAAATCATGGGGATAACACTTATTTAATTTAGCAGCATTCAAGGAAGTAATTATTATGTTTTAAGTGGCCAACGGTTCCTTTTTAATTGACTGGTAGGATCCTTTCAAAAATGCAACAACAGAACGGCAGCTGTTGCCCCCCCCCCCCAAGGATCCAAAGTTGTTTAGGATTGAAAGAACTCCCCCATAAACCTTCCAGCTACCGTGTGTGGCATGCAGGTAAATCACAAGGGGGGTGATTAAGGTGCCACCTCATTATTGGAACTGCGTGGAGCTCGCAAACAAAATCGGGTTGGAAGCCGTGGGCCAACCCCCCAACTCCCCCACGCGCATCCTGGGTGCCTCAAAGGTGTGACGCCTTTGCCTTGGGGACAATGAGGAATTAGAGCGGCCACTTGTGTGGGTCTGCCAGCACGCAGTGTCCCCACGCACGCATGTACGTCTCAGGGCTCCTTTATTTTGGATTTTTTTTTTTGAATTCTACTTCCCAAAACGCCTCACCTACTGGAGGAAAATCAACACTTGAAGGGCATGTTTAATTTACTGGCCGAGCAAACAGCTTAGGAGAGAGCTGTGGTGTTTCCTGCTGATTAAAGGAAGCTGTGCTCTGCTGGCCTCCCACCCCCGGTGGGCACAGGGTTAAGTGATTGCCCGAAGCACCAGGAAAACCCAAGTCTCCATTCTGCTGCCCCACTGCTGGGGGGAGAGCCCCCTTCCTTCAAAGGTGGGTGACAGGAGGCCTAATTACTGTGCAGAAAACATTTGGAGAAAACGAGGCCCCATGAAAGCCCCAAGGCCCTGGAGAAAGCGGATGGCTGCTGGGAGACTGCAGGGCCGCGGGGCCAGACAGGCACAAATTGTCCTGCTCCCCAGGGTCCTTGAGGGACAAGAGACTGGACTGAGAGACCATCCTTCCTCAGCCCTGCGCGCCAGCCAGGATGCCTGGGAGGTGGCAGGCCCAGGCAGGAGTCCCTCTGCCCTCGGCCCTGGGCTGCACACACATTTGCCCAGGCCCCCGGCCCCGGCCAGCCAGGACCCATGACAGCCGGTGCATGTCCAGTAGCGCCCTCTGGAAGGTCGGGGTGCACAGCCAAGAACACGAGCTTTTTATGACTTTGGAAACAGGCTGCACGATTGTGTGTGATTTACTGGTCAGGGGACCTCAGGTCCTTTATCGGGGTTTTGTGATGGTTTCAGGCGTGGGGCTCATGACTGAGTCCATCAGTCCTAAAAATTCTTTTAGGAGACCGCCCAAGATAATAAAAGCAGGGAGGAGAGGAGAGGCGAGAGGAGGCGTGCAGGTTCCACAGGAGGGCGGGTGAGAGAGCCTGGACGCCGGCGAGCCAGCAGAGGGGCCCCGAGTCACGGTCAGGGTCACGGCCCCCACTCTCGGGCCACAAGCACCTGCCGTAGGCACTTGGGTCCCAGCCAGGCCCTTGTGTTCTTGCTGAAGTTAATGCCAAAACGCAGTTTGGAGGCTTGTCGTACACTAGTCAGCCTGGGAGCAGTGGTCATCTGGTCTTACAAAACGGGTCAGGGACATGGACGAAGCCAGCTGCTGCCCAGTCTACACCACGCGGGAGCCCTCCCCCACCCCCTGGGTCCACCCTGTGCCTTCAGCTGACGTCTGGTCTCCTCCAGCCTCATAAAGGGAGCCTTCCTCTCACCCACCCGGATGTCCCTCATCCCTAAAAGAAGCCACCCCACCATCTCCTGAGAGCCCCACCTGAATAGCAGGGTCTGGATGTGCCCCCACCAGCTGGTGTAGAGGGTCCCTTCGCACTGTCCCCACGAGGCTGGTGGCCGAGTAAGCAGTGTCCTGCGAGGGTGGCCACTCGGCGTAAGGACCACCAGCCTCTTCCTGGAAGCTCTAGCTCCTGGTGGAACTGGGCAGATTTAAGCTTTATTCCTCGGCTGGGGAGGG